AGAGAGAGAGAGAGAGAGAGAGAGAGAGAGAGAGAGAGAGAATCGTTAATAACCAGTATAGCCCTGCAGAGTTATGAAGGATACCTACAGAAAGCATTGGGCAGATATCACCAACAGCCCCCTGCTATGCCTGGAATTAACCCCTCAGCCACTAGATAATATAAACATTGAGAGCTCAGGTGGTGGGCTAGGGTGGTGAGGTCTTGGGCAGCTGTTGTAAGCCATCCACACTGCAGTATTCAATATGTGGCCTGACCACATCTGTCTATCTTCAGGACATCTTCCGAGAGTGTGACCAGGACCAGTCCGGCACCTTGAACTCCTATGAGATGCGCTTGGCAATTGAGAAAGCAGGTGGCCAGAGGGCAGGAGAAAGGGTTTGGAGGCAGTGAGCCGGGAGATCATGTGTGGAGGCCCAAATTCTGCCCTTTCCTGCCCCTCTGTCTACTAGGCATTAAGATGAACAGCAAGGTGACCCAGGTGGTAGTAGCTAGATACTCAGATGACAATATGATGGTGGACTTTGACAACTTTATCAACTGTTTCCTGAGGCTGAAAGCCATGTTCTGTGAGTGAGGCACTTACCCCGTCTTCTAGGCTAAGCCAGGAAACAGAGGACCCAGGTTCTATTCCCAGCATTCACATGGTGGCTAACAACGATCTTAACTCCAGTCTCAGGGAATCCGAGGCCTTCTTCTGACTTATGTGGGCATTGCATGACATGGGTACACTTACATACATGTATGATACACTCATACACATAAAATAAAAATAAAATAAAAAAGAAGATAAGGGGCTGGAGAGATGGCTCAGTGGTTAAGAACACTGACTGTTCTTGCAGAAGACCCGGGTTCGAATCCCAGCACCCACATGGAAGTTAACAACTGTCTGTAACTCCAGTTCCAGGGAATCCAGTAGCCTCTCTGTCCTCCGCAGGCATTGAATGACACAGGTGCACTTACCTACTTGCAGACATATCACTCATATACATAAAATAAAAATAATAAAACAGGGTTTTTTTAGGTTTTTTTTTGGTCTTTGTGAGACAGGGTCTCCCTGTCCTGGAACTCACTATGTAGACCAGGCTGGCCTTGAACTCACAGAGATTCACCTGCCTCTGCCTCCCAAGTGCTCGGATTAAAGGTGTGTACCACCACACCCGGCAATAAAATAGTTTTTAAAAAAAACAAACAAAAAAGACAAAAAAAATCTGACCTGAATGATAATAGTTCTGCCCCAGGGACTGGGGATAGAGCTCAATCAGTAGAGTGCTTGCCTGGTGTGCACAAAGCCCTGGGTTCGATTTCTAACATTGCAGAAACCTGGTGAAGTGGTACATGCCTGAAATCCCAGCATAGATCCCACTACTCAAGTAATGGAGGCAGGAAGATCAGGAGGTCAAGGTCATCCTGGGCTACATAGTGAGTTTGAGGTCAGTCTAAGTCATCCAAGAGACCCTTTCTCATTAAAAAAAAGTATTGCTCCAAGGCTGGGTGTGGTAGCCCACACTTATAATAACAGAACTTGGGAAGCTGAGACAGGAGGATCATAAGTTAGAGGTGACCTAGGCTACATAGTGAGTCCTGTGTTAAACAATAGGGCAGGTGGGATGGCTTAGCACTTAAAAGCGCTTGCTGACAAGCCTGGTAACCCTAGTTCCATCTTCAGAACCCACATGACAGAAGGAGAGAATTGACTCCCAGAAGCTGTTCTCTAATGTCCACAGGTTCACACTATGGGCCCCACACATCTCACAATAAATAAACAAATGTAAAACAAACATAAAGTAAAGCCAGTCCACCTCCCTAGGACTCCAGTGCATAGTAAACGTGTTAAGAGTTTAGAACCAGGTCTGGTTCCTAGCCAGGCTAGGAGTTGTGACATTTCACTTCTGATTTATCTTGGGATCAATAGGAATAACTTTTTACCTTCCGAGTTTCTACCCTGTTGAGAGTGGGTAATTTAGACCACCATCTCAGCGCTGACTTGCTTCCTCCGTCCTTCTCCCCTAAAACAGCGTTCTTTCTATCCATGGACCCCAAGAATACTGGTTCTATCCGTTTGAATATGGAGCAGGTACTTGGAGGAGGCCTGGGAAGGGAAAATCCGGGGCGCCCTCATTCTGGCCCCGCCCCCCGCCGCTCGTCCCGCCCACTCTCCATCCTCTCTTGCACATCTTCCTTTCTCTTCTCTCCTTGCAGTGGCTGCAGATTACCATGTGGGGGTAGGGTGTTGCGGAGCCTGGCTCACTCCCTAAAACAGCCCTAACAGCTCTGGCCCAGGACAGCTCTCCAGTCTCTGTGGTGGCTATGGGCTCCACTTGGCGACAGCAGGTTTACTCCGAGCCCACCCTCCTGATTCAAAAGACCTCCTTTTTCCTCCCAGCACTCTCACACTTTTGAGTGTCTTGACTAAAAATCTAACGATGCTTTGCCAGTTTTCAGTTTTCGCTGGCGAAGGCCCACAGAAGGGAAAGGCCTTGAAGCCGGTTTCCTGTCTGCTATACTGTCAACTCACACCTGCCGCCAGCTTGCCCGCCCTCCTGGCGCAGTCCTCTTCCCTCCCCCGTGGACATTGTTACAATAAACAGTACATGCCTCAGGCTTTCCCTGTCTCTAGGGTCATATGCCTAGAAAGATTGGAGGGGGGAGTATTGGAGGGAGTGCCAGTCACTTCAACATCAAAGAGGCGGATCACCCCACACATTTACAAATGTGTGCTTGTCACCATAACTAGGGGCGCTGCTGTCATTTCCGCACAGTGCCAGGATGCAGAACGCACCCCAGTCCCTCCGAATGAGAATAATACAACGGCTATATTAGACAGTTGAGAGGTGGAGTGTGGGGGCCACCACTGGGCCAGCTTCCAAGAACGCTTTCACTGGGACTGGCAAAGCCAGGGCCCACAGATTCCTAAGCGGCCTTTGTCACCCCTTCCCTCAATCTGGGGCCTCCCAAAATGACACTGCAGAGGTCTCAAAGATCCAAGATCCAAGAGGCAGCAGATAGACCACACACATGAAGGAGACCCTCTTGATGCGACCTGGGCTAAGGACTGGGCAATAGTGTGTTCCTCTCATTCTTAAAAGTGGGCAAGGGATGGTGGCCCACACTTAATCCCAGCACCCAAGAGGCAGAGGCAGGCAGATCCCTGAGTTCAAGGCCAGCTGGGTCTACATAGCAAGTTCCAGGCCAGTCAGACCGTCTCAATAACAAAACAAACTGGGGATGGAAAGATGGCTCAGTAGTTAAGAGCACTGGCTGCTCTTGCAGAGGACCTGGGTCCGATTCCCAGCATCCACATGGCGGCAAACAACCATCCATAATACCAGTTCTAGGGGAATCTGATGCTCTCTTCCAGCCTCCGCAGGCATTGCACGACATGGGTGCACTTACATAAATATAGGCAATACACTCATACACACAAAATAAAAAAAAATAAATAAATAAAATTTTTAAAAAACAAAAAAAGGAGTCAAATTTGAGTTCTTTTTAGAAATTGCTGCCTGTCCAATCCTTGACTTCACAGGAGGAATGGAGGAACGGGACCTTGAGCCTTTAGTTCTTGACCTTGGCATCTGTTCCAGAGGCACCCTACTCTTATTTCTGTCCAGTCCAGCCTCCTGCCATAGAAGATCCAAGACCCCACAGCCTAGCTTCGGTCCTTGTGGATCTCTCCAAGGCTGTCCCCTTTCCCTTAGTAGCAACACAGGCCTAAGCATAAGGGTTTCACATCCCCATAGACAGAAACAGCTCCCCACTTCCCTTAGATGAATGCCTGTGCTCCCCAAAGGAATCCAAATCCTTCCTGCCTCTGTGCATACACAACTTCCTCTATGGCTGCTTTCCAGTTTCCTTTCACAGCAGGACTGGGCATTTGTTACTCCTGCCGGGCCCTAACTGGGCCCACTCCCGGTATGCTGAGAGGGCAACTGGAATTCCCATCCTCCCAGAGCTGCTTCCCCAGATCTTCCGGCCCTGCCCTCCTCTGTGACTTTAAGAACCAAATTTAGTAGGGTGTGGTAGCGCATGCCTTTAATCCCAGCACTTGGGAGGCAGATGGATCTCTGTGAGTTCGAGGCCAGCCTGGTGTACATAGTGAGTTCCAGAACAGCTGGGGCTACAAGGAGACCCTGTCTCAAAAAGACAAAAAAAAAAAAAACAAGTTTAGTTGATCTGGATAGAAAGTGGCTTTTTGGTCCATTATCGCCACCCCCTCTCCCCACAGCGTCTCCTGAGGACTGGCTTCTGGTCTTGCCACCCCTTTGTCTATCCACACCGCCTCCTTTTCCATCTGATAGATAGCTCACACTCTCTAGGGAGCCTCTGAGAAGACGGATAGGCTGAGCTTTATCTTCCCTCTGAACCTGTTCTCTACAGAGCTCTCTCCCTGGGGACTTGGGCAGGAAGGGGAAGGGGAAACGGCAGGCAGCCCAATGAGGTTCTAAAACTAACAGATCCTTTGAGTTTTCAAAAGGTTCCCACTGTGTCAGAACCCCAAGAAGATGCTGAATTTCACTTCCTGCCTATCTCCCTGAGCTGAGATGCTCCTAGCTTTAAATAGGAGGGAAAGGAATGAAAACCCTCAAATCAGGGCTATCACTGTTTGTTTTGTTTAAGGGGACTGGAGGTGTAGCTCAGTTGCTAGAGTGCTTGCCCAGCATGCAGGAAGCCCTAGGATTCCTTCATCAGCACCTGACATAAACTGGGTGTGGTGGTATACTTGGGGGGTGGAGGCAGAAAGATCGGAAGAAGTTTAAGCTCATCCTTGATACATAGCTAGTTTGAGACTAGCCTGGGCTATATGAAACCGTGTCTTAAAAGTGAACAAAAACTATATATACTCATATTTATATATAACATTTATTTGGAGGGCACTAGTGTGCCATGGCACAAGCAGGAAGGCAAAGGATAGCTTGTGGTTGGTTCCATCATGTGAGTTCTAGTTGTTCAACTCAAGTTGTCAGACTTGGCAACAAGCTCTCCTTACATTGAGTGTCACCTTACTGATCATATATGTGTATATATATATGTATACATATATATATATATACACACACACACACATATGTATGTATTTAGTGTATATAAGTATTTTGCCTGCTTATGCAATGCCCACAGAGGCCAGAAGACAGTGTCAGATCCTCTGGAACTGGAGTTATGGACTGTTATTAGCTACCAGATGAGTTCTGGAGACTAAACCCAGGTCCTCTGCAAGAGCAACTAGTGCTCTTAATCACTGAGCCATCTTTCCAGCCCGATAGATAGATGATAGATAGATAGATAGATAGATAGATAGATAGATAGATAGATAGATGATAGATAGATAGATAGATGATAGATAGATAGATGGATGATAGATAGATACAGCACGGAAACATCTAGATGCTCCTTTCAAAAGTTAAATCCAGCAATGTCTCATCTACACATATAACAAGAGAAATGCAAACGTGCATGCAAACCTGTGCATACAGATGTCTATGGCAGTGCTGTGGACAATGACAGCCCAAAGCAGGAAATAAGCTAGATGTTCATCAATAGGTGATCAGATGAACAAAACAGGAAATGTGGAAGCTTCAAACCAAAAGGAACTGGCACAATGGCCGTCCTTGTCCCTGCAACCACCTCAGCAATCACTGATAGGCAATGCCATTCAGCAATCACTGACATGCGATGCCATTCTTTACCTCCTGAGTATTTGAGAATAAGTCTCAGGCATCTATATATATATATATAATTTTTTTTTTTTTTTGAGACAGGGTCTCCCTGTAGCCCCAGCTGTCCTGGAACTCACTATGTAGACCAGGCTGGCCTTGAACTCACAGAGATCCGCCTGCCTCTGCCTCCCAAGTGCTGGGACTACAGGCATGCGCCACCATGCCCGGCTATATTTTTTAACATAGTAACTGTATATGCTTCTGAGATACAGTGTGACATTTCAATATACATGTACAAGTTGTGGTTATCAGACCAAGGTAATTGGCATATATATCTACTCATATTTCACCTCTTGGCATTGGGAGCATTTCAAATCCCTTTCTGTTTTGAAATAGTCTATTAAATGTTTTCAACCAGGGCCATCACTTTCTGACCTGTAACAAAACTGAAGTGACTCAGAAACGCCCTTAGCATAAAGCCCCCGACCCCCACGGTGAATCCTGATTATCAACTTGATGAAATTTAGATCTCCATGGAAACAAACCTCTGAGCATGTCTGTGAATGAGTTTCTAGATAAGTTAATTGAGGAGGGAAGACATACCTCAAATGTGGACAGCACCATCCCCTGGGCTGGGGTCCTGAACTGAATAAAAAGGAGAAAGTGAGCTGAGCACCAGCATTCACCTCTCTCTGCTACCTGACTGCAGATGCAATGTAACTAGTTGCCTCCTGCTCCTGCCAGCATGATTTTCCTTCCAACTGTGAGCCAAAATAAATCCTTCCTTCCTGAAGTTGTTTCAATCAGGTATTTTGCCACAGCAATAAGAAAAGTAACTAGCTGAGCTGATGGTTCATGCCTTTAATCCCAACACCCAGGAGGCAGAGGCAGGCAGATCTCTGAGTGCAAGTCCAGTCTGGTCTACATAGTGAATTCCAGGCTAGCTGGGGCTACAGGGAGACCCTGTCTCAAAAAGACCAAAGGGGGAAAAAACAAGTCACAGTGTGTTTTAGTTTGTTTTGCCATTGCTGTGACAAAACACTCTGACCAATACCAACTCGGGGAGGGAAGGGTTTATTCAGCTTACCTCTCCTGGGTGGGTCACAGTTCATCACTGAGTGAGCCCAAGGTAGGACCTCAGGGCAGGAGCACAGGTCATGGAGGAATGCTGCTTCCTGGCTTGCTCCTCTGGCCCATGCTCAACCTTCTTTCTCATACAACATAGACCCACCTGCCCAGGGGTTGGGCCTGAGGTTGTGACATATCTGGCAGGTGAAGGGTGGGTTGCCCCACTATGAGGAGGGTCTGGGAGGGCGGTTCAGTCATGCAGAACTCCAGTCCAAGGAGTACCCTGTGATCGGGATTGAGTCATAACAGAGGGCCAGTGCTGGGGGACTGGGGTATGTGAGATGCAGCCTTCCTGGAAGGCCACCAGGGAGTGGTGTCCATGCAAGAAACATTCAGGACCTAAGATTTCTCCATCAGCTAGTTCTAGGCCAGCCAGGGCTATGTGGTGAGACCCTGTCTCATACACACACACACACACACACACACAATTAAAAATTTAAATCT